TCCTTGATACAAAGTGCATGAAGAGCCTTGAAAACTTTTTTGGACAACTTTATTTTATCTTTTGGACATTGATCTTATCAATAAAATCGTGGCGGTCAATTTTCTGAAACAGCAAGCTAAATAAACTAGTAATCTAGCTTTCGTTCATCTGACCACAGACGGAAAACCATGGATATGTGTTTCGTGCTATTTGGCAGCTCTTCAGCATGTTGTAGGGTTAGTCTCGGTGTTGTACACACGAACGAAAATCGAGCAACTCTATTCTATTTAGAGTATAACGTCTATAGAAATAAGACAGCACAGAATGCTGTTTTATTTGGAAGCTAAATAATTTGATAAAAAGTAAATAAGTAAAGCTGGTTGGTATAAATATTGCGATGGAGTTTCATGTACAAGAAAGTTATCAATATTAGGTTAGGTAAACCTTACACAAACTCGTAGCTTTCTGTTAGGTTGCTAAAATTGAAGAGTAAATATTTGATGAATATCAATATCATAATATAGGGTCTTAAAGGTTGCTTGGATAACTTTATTTTCTCATTTGAACATTTCCTAATTAAAAAAAAACGGTTGCTGTTAAGTTGCTGAAACTTAACAGGAAACTAGTAAATAAAGTTAAATACGTAGATAGAGAGTTTCTCGGAAAATTTTGATAAAAAATAAAAACGTTTTGATTTATCACTGGGTTTATTTGGAATGGAATTTCAAAATAATAGATACATTAACATTGTCACTTTTACTCGTCTACAAGATGGCATAATTAAAATTTCGATACGACTTTTCATCTCTTGTCCTCAATCATAAACTTTATTTCTTCTTATAGACGACATATAGGATTCATATACACTTGAATAGAACTTTTAATTCAGATTCTACAAGTGTATAATGAGTCATACATTGACATTGCTAAACCTCAGTTATTTAAAAAGACAATTTCTTAAGTTGTCATTGAAATTATCAGATCAAATTTCAGACAATCACTTTTATAAATATTTCAAAAAATGTCTAAAAAAGTAATGTTCGTATAGCTGATAGTTGGCCTTAACTGATGAACAACATACAGCTAAAACTATTGGACATTATTCAAGCCTCCTATAGAAAGCATTGAAAGTAGTATTTTTTGAAAGAAGCTTTGACGATTTTGCAGCTTCTTAACAAATTTTACATCCTACAAATCCCAATCGGTGCATTCAAATATACTAAGTGACATATAAATCCGAACACCCCGTTTAAATGGTTTTATTTTAATAAAAGTTGGTAAATGTATTTATCTTACTGTAAATAACAAGTGAAAAAATTTTCAGCCTTATCAGTTGGACATTCCGGTTTTTATACTGCTTTTTTTTAATTCACTAACGCTCTAAAAATGAATATTTCAGCCGCAGTAAAGAATCAACGTTGGCGGATTTTGGTTCTTGACATCCTTTACGATCGGTTACGATGCCTACAGTACGGAGACCTGTACGATTTCGTCAACTTAGTGAGTTTGATAGGGGCCGTATAGTGGGACTTCGGGAAGCTGGACTTTCTTTTCGGGCAATTGCAGTTAGAGTGCAAAGAAGTGTAGACACTGTGGTTAGGTGTTGTCAGGCATGGCTTCGAGAATGCCGTACGCAAAGAGCAAGGGGCACTGGACGCCGCCGTAGAACAACAGACCGTGAAGATCGCCGCCTAAGATTATTGGCCTTAAGGGACCGTTTCTCCACTACCAGGTCCATTGCAAATGAATGGTTTGCAGAACACGGAAGACCTATTGGCATGCGAAGTGTTTACCGACGAATGAGAAGTTTTGGCTTGTTTTCATACCGGCCACACTGGGTCCTCCCTTTAACTCGAGAACACCGACGTAACCGCCTTGAGTGGTGCAGATAACGGTCACTCTGGGATCAGGAATGGAACAGTATTGTCTTTAGTGACGAGTCTCGATTTTGTTTAGGCATGCACGATGGTCGTGCCAGGGTTAGAAGGCGACGTGGTGAAAGGAGGAATCCACAGTTTTTTGTTGAAAGACATGTTCATCACACTGTTGGTGTTATGGTTTGGGGTGATATAGCTTATGGTTCCAGGTCACCTTTAATCTTCATCAGAGGTAACATGAACGCGTAGCGTTATATCCACGAAGTTCTAGAACCCCATCTTTTACCCTATCTTGACACCCTGGCAGATCCAACTTTCCAACAAGATAATGCCCGACCACATGTTGCAAGAGTCACAATAGACTTCTTTCAACATAATGATGACACATTGTTACCATGGCCACCAAGATCTCCCGACTTATCCCCAATTGAGCACGTGTGGGATATGATGGGTAGGAGATTGCTAAATTTGCAACGTCCTCCTCAGACTCTAGAAGCACTTCGAGAGGAGTTGGTGGTTGCCTGGAATGAGATACCACAGGAGGACATTGACCACCTGATCAGAAGCATGCCTAGGCGCGTTGGAGAATGCGTAGCACATCAGGGTGCATCCACACATTATTAAAAGTCAAAGGGCTTTAAAGCAGTGCAATCATTTTGAAATGTTTATCATTGACTTATTATGCTTCATTAAGTACTTATACAAAACTTTATTAAAATAAAACCATTTAAACTGGGTGTTCGGATTTATATGTCACTTAGTATACTATTAATCTACTGTTGAAGTGCATCCACTGCGCGAAAATTGTTATAGTGGCTAAAAGGGCAAATTATCCGAACTTCTTATAAACGGGCCTCTCAAACACTGAAGGGTTGATGAGTTAATCGGGTAAACGTGTGATTAGCTGTCATTTTCAAGGCCAACAATAAAAAATCAGTTTCTTTAGTAACTTACATTTGGAGATGTTAATATAATCATATACACTTTTGGAATCAGAATTAAAAACTTTTTATTGATGGTGAGAGTCGAATTTGAAACACCCAGTGTATCTATGGATTCAGTTCCCCACACCATTCACTTTGCTCCAGGCCAATACGAAATTGTAAGAAGCGTTTTCTACTTTCCTGACATTATCTTTGTGACTTAAAAAAATAACAGATCAAGAACAGTGACTAAAGCCCCATTAAAGTAGTCAGGTACTCGTTATTTTGATCAAACACTTGTATTTTGTATATCCTCAATTGTAGAAAACAAGTAAGCAATTTCCCGTCTGTCGCGTAAACGAAATTTACAGTTGCTAGCAGCAGCGCATGTAGCCCATTAAAATTGGATCGCTCTAAATCGATAAAACGCGAACTTGCGGTCCTAAATGTTTGAGTGGAGCCCAATGGGCAATTTAATTACGAGGAGCCATAAACTAACCGTAGTTGCAAGGCTTCTGGTACATCTAGATATTGCCGATGGGAAGTAAGATATAGACTATTAGTCCCGGTTCTATTTGAATAATCAGCTAAAATTCAGCTAACCCAAACTCGGACCACCGACTCGCTTGAATAGATGGATTCCTAATCAGTATACACTGAAAACCCAATTTGTCTGACATCTTGAGTCCAATGTGTACGAGACAGAAGTGTGTGCGCGCCTCTCTCTCGTAGAAATGAAACTCAAGCTATCAAACAAATTTGGTTTTCCCTGTATAGCTGTTTTAAGACTGCTTATGGTGGCGGAGGTGATAAGGTTACTATGGAAGATGAACATGGTTCCATATTGGAACTGCTAGTGCGGAGCTTACAAGGTGTAAACGCTATGATTGTCATTATTTAAATGGGTGGTAGAGGGGGTTGAAAGAATCAAAACGTTTCATTTAACATGAGGGTCAAAACGGCATTTTTTTTAACGAAAAACGACTTTAAAGTAAAATAAAGTCTGACAACGCCGCAATGCCAGACGCAAATTACGACGGAACGCAGTGTAAATAAAGATGGGGTTTGTTATTTTTGGATCTTAGGTATTATTTCATTATTTGATAATGTACTCGTGAAATGCAAACAACTAAAAAAAACGGACTTACCACTGTCTCAGCGCTTCACCTGGTGTGTGAAGGTTTATTGAACGTATTAAAAAAATCCACTTATAAATAGGGAACACATTTTTGATACATATATTGTTACTCTTTTTAAAACCCACACTGCACTTTTTTGTATTTAAAGAAGGTGTTCAAAATGTCGCCCTCCACTTTCCACACAAGCTTCATTACGACGAACCCAGTTTCTTCTTACTCTAGGTCCTCGAAGGTGTCCATTGATTATTTCAGCCTCATTAAAATTTTTTGCGCGAAGTCGTGCTTCAGTTGTTATTGGACCATCCCTTTAAGTTCTCCCCAATACCATAAATCCATCGGATTGAGGTCAGGAGATCTTGCTGACCATTTTCGACCGATCCAGCGACTTGGATAATGTTCATTCAAATACTGAATGACACCTCTAAAAATGTGTAGTGGTGCCCCGTCATAAAGAAAGCACAAATTCTGTCTCGGTTGTAATGGCATGGTGTCTAACGTCTTTTCCAAAAGTTCTGGTACGTTATTGGCTAGAAAACTAAGGTATCCTTCTCCTGACAACTTTGGGGGTAACTCGAAAGGGCCAATTCCTTGATCGTCAAGAATACCCGCCCAAATATTTATTTTAAAGCGTTGTTGGAAATGACCTTCACGAATGGTATGTGGATTTTCTTGAGCCCACTTGTGAGTATTATGGAAATTTAATATCCCGTCTCGCGTAAAAGTGCATTCGTCCGTCGCTAGAATGTTTTTAAAAGAATCCAGATTTTCAATGTTTTTGTGCAAAAACCACTGACAGAATGTTATTCTGCGAGGATAGTCTTCTGGTAACAAGGCCTGCACTCGTTGTACATGGTATGGATAAAGCAAATTTTCCCGTAGGATTCTATGAACTATGGTATGCGATATTCCTACGCGGCGGCCTGATTCCCGAGTGCTGCTAAGTGCATTGATTTCCGCGATATTTAAAATTTGTTCCTCCTGCTCTACAGTAACTTGTCTTTCACGAGTGCGAATATTGGTGGGCTGAACACCAATCAACTGTAAACACTGATGGAACAGGCGTAACGCGAATTCATTGCGGCTAGAATGAGAAACGAGAAGGATAGCGCTAGTCAGGGTAAAACATTGGCAAAACATCGTGGTCCATTGTGGTATTTCCATATATGTTCTAAGCATTTTTGGTGAATGTTTGTTTTTAGTGACGTTAAAGATTAATAGTGATAGTTTGCGACAATTATTATAAACATTTTTATGCCGGACAGCCTTCAAGAGCTGTTGTTTTATGTGATATTTGTTTAAAAATGGTTGAATCTTGCAGTGCGGTGAATTGTTGCAATAGACGCAGAAAAGATGTGAAAATGAAGTTTCACATGTTGGTTTTAATCATCTGATTCATTTTTGTGTGAGAATTACCAGTTAATTGGTAATTCGAGAAAATATCTGGATTTTTAGGATACCTACAGATCCTAACATGAGGAAGTTGTGGTTACATGCTATAAGAAGAGAAAACTTTACTACCAGTACAACAACGGTAATTTGTGAAAAGCGTTTCACTCCAGAGGATTATGAACTTAGTGTTCATGGAAATAAGGTACTAAAAAAAGTGGCAGTTCCATCTGTCTTTGATTTTCCAGCCCATCTCAAGAAAGAACCTAGCCATCGAAGGGTTTTGAAAAGAAAACATGAATAGATAATTTCTAGAATGAACTATGGTATAACCTATATTGTACTCGTATTATAATGAAAAACTGTGCATCTACAGTATTGTTAATGCCATTGTGCACAAATATTTTGTATACATATATATATATATATACTTTGAAGTTGAGTCATTAATTTTCAGATAATGATTGTAGAAGGAAGATAAACCAAAATGTGTGTGTAAAAATAAAAAAAAAATAAAAAAAATGTTACCTTGTTTTATAAAGTATCCTCACGACAAGTATTTCAGTGCGGACCTGTATTTGATCGTGCGGTCTTGGAGCACCGGCATGCTCTCCCCTGTGAGGTCTTAAGTCACCTGATTCACGAGCCCTTTGTACTGGTACAAGGGGTTGGTTGCACTCGATTGGGAAGCCGATCCGCACAAATCCGTGATGCCGCGGCAGCATTTTGTAAGGACTCCCCCCCCCGTAAATAAGAATCATGTCCACAAGTTCAGCATTTTCGTAAACATGCGCCATTTTTTATTTCGTTTGAGCCACGCAACAAACACCACTATTCACTCACGCGTTGCCGACTGACATATTGACTGAATACAACTGAATAAAATTGTAGTAAAAACATCGTGATACGCGTTTCAAATTCTTTCGCTTTTTTGTTTCCGATGCGATGCACCGATAAGGCGGATTATATCCGTTGTTGCCAAACACGAGCACATAATATTATTATTGAGACAGGGCGGTACTCAAACTTCTAAAGGGCTATAACTTTGTTACTTTAATTTTACCAGAAAAATGTTAAATGAAAAAAACATTTCTTTTGATCAGATCTACTCACTGTTCAAATAAATGACTCAACTTTGAAGTGTATAAATATAAGGGTTGTTTCTTCGTACATTTTAATCTCTACAAAACTGGACGTGTTCCTACTACATTTAGTGTTGACAGCTACAGTACTATAAAAATAAATTTAAATGTGCATAAATACTATTTGGAACATTATAAAGATATATAGAAAATATATTTATTGTGATATTTCTTAGATCTCTTATTTTTTTATATGTAAGATATATAGCATATTAGAGCAGTTAAGTTAATTATAAGCAGACATGTAATCTCTTTGCTACCTGAATTATTAATTACTTATGTTAAATACTAATTTTTATATCTTCAAATGTGTAAAGGAGAATTTATTGTCAAGTTTCATACATATGTATATATAAATAAATAAACTTGGTTTTTTAATTATAATTACGTTTCCAGGATTTTATCTCGTTCCAGTTGCCTGAATAACTTTTAAATCTTCTCTAAGAATCCTCGGTTTCCTATGCAATTCATTCAAGTCCGCGCTTTTTGCCCTGACCAGCTCCATCTCTCTCTCGGACCTCTTTGTCGTATGTTGGCCGCATTATCGTTTCATTGTACAAATGGGACGGGGCGATTCCATCAGTGTTGACAGTTCATTGGCTGAACACTTCCTGCATCTCGAAGTATTTGGTACACTTGCACAAATGTCCTTCTGTCTGGGCGAAATCTGTCGCGATAAATTTGAGCTGCAAGATTTGAATTCTGACGAGCTTCACCGTAAACTAACATGTCGGCGAACGCTTGATTCGAGAACATTGTAAATAAACACGACGACGTACGCGAACAATAACTAACCACTGTTACCGTTTGCGATCGATCGCCGGTTCGATAAGAGTGATGAATGACCGACGCCCTGTTGTCATGTGTGTTTCAAATATTTAATTTAATGAAACTTACTTACTGACTACAAATTTTGGCTTAGCTTAGAAAAACTTCATGCCATTTATTTGTTAATTCCTCTATTTAAGAACGTTTTAGATTAGATTATAAAAATTAGTAACATTGTGGTGATTGTGGTCGATATAAAGCACTTTAGGTTGTAAACTATAAAGCCATTTAGACAAAAATCTATTGACTTTTGGACCTTGGGTCATATGAACTTTTTGACTTGTGTTGACCCCCCTATTATCCATTTCAATAATGACTATCATAACGTTTACGCCCTGTATAATCATTTAAGATGGCAAATAATTAGAGAGCTGTTGCTTTGAGTTCTATAGGTATGCAGAAAAGTAGTTCTACTACTGATATGCCATCACAAAATCGAACGTAGGCTAAGATGAGCATCTTTATTGCGGTCCGTTGCGTCATCAAGCTGATTGAAACCAACTTGTCTCGCAACTTCCCGAGTAGCTGATGCTGTGCATCTTCAGCTATATCATCAATTCGACGGACAACCGTATCATTTGATAGGGGCATGGACACCAATTTTTGCTGAAAATTATCTCCAAACATAGTTACCATATTCTCACCTCAAAAATGCTTTTCAATATTGTAACGTTTTCTTTATCAAACCCTTTCGTACCATTGGAACAAAAGATTCAGTTACGTAACTACAAAATTATCTAGCATTCTTTCCATCCCCGATTGTGTCGTCACGGATATTAAAAAGGTCGCCTGAGAGCGGGGCCCGGGACCAGGGGATCCTAGCAGTAAACTCTTTACGGGCCTTCCAGTTCCAGCATCGGGCGTCGGATGCACTGATAAAATCGATTGGAGGAGGCTTTTTGCTTTGTTTTTCGAGAGGAATATGGCCGATGGGAGGACTTCATCGCGCGGTTCGCCGACGGGAAAATCACTTTTATATCGTGACTCTGGCACGAATGACGGACGCAAATTGGGTGGGTGTTAGAGGAATATGTGGAGGACGTGGTCGCGGAGTTTTATGTGCATGGCGAGCCTTTTGATTGCTCTTTCATACCAGCATATTAGGGATTATTATTTGAGAAAGGACATTCAACGCCATGGATGGAATCTCTCTCTAGCATACGTGCAGGAGATCCGTTATTCATATTTGCGAGGGTGAATTGTAGAAAGGTCAACAGCCAACATGAGCTGGCGATAGAAGAATAAATGATGTTCGAGTTAGTAACTGATATTTCCAAATGCCGTCAAAAACGGCGTGATGTAGATTGACACTTGGCACTTCCCACGCTGTTAACAGTTAATAAAGGATTACCTAAAGCACAAACTAGACCCTCCGAATTTTTTTGACTATAGCGTATATTTTGAAGACAAATGAATTGTTATTATTATATCGAAAGTCATGACAGATAATTACAATTTTTCAAATGGAATGTTTGATATTTTATTACTGACAAGAGAAGAAGATTAACATACCGTAACGTTTCGACAATTCTTTATATATTATATATATATATATATATACAGGGTGACTTTGAAGTTGAGTCATTAATTTTCAGATAATGACTGTAGAAGGAAGATAATCCAAAATATGTGTGTAAAAATAAAAAAAAAATTAAAATAAAAATGTTACCTTGTTTTATAAAGTATCCTCCCGACAAGTATTTCAGTGCGGACCTGTATTTGATCGTGCGGTCTTGGAGCACCGGCATGCCCTCCCCTGTGAGGTCTTAAGTCACCTGATTCACGAGCCCTTTGTACTACATTAACAAAGGCACGAGGGGTTGGTTGCACTCGATTGGGAAACCGATTCACACAAATCCGTGATGCCGCGGCAGCATTTTGTAAAGACTCCCCTCCTCCCCCGTCAGAGAGGATGTTGTCGCTAGCCTTATCTTTTCCAGCTCAGCGGCAGAGATCGGCTTGACACTCTGAATTCCTGCATGTAGAGTGCTGTCATCAGCGAAGCTGTGGATTGGGTTGATCGTGCAAGAAAGGAGGTCGTTGATGCGTAAGCGAAACAGTGTCGGAGCCAAGACCGATCCCTGGGGAACACCCGCGTTAACGTGGGATGAAGAGAAGAAACCGTCAATTACGATGGATATCTTGCGGCCAGAGATAAAGTCAGCCACCCCTCTGCAAAGCTTTTCTGGGAGGCCATAGGATGGAAGTTTGCTTAAGAGGACAGCGTGCCACAGCTGATAGAACGCTTTCGTGATGTCAAGAGCAACGACATGAGCCTCACCATAAGACTGTATGAGTTTACTCCACAATTGCGTGACGTAAGCTAGGAAGTCCCTTGTGGGTCGTGGTGCTGGAAACCATACTGCCTGTCGCTAATCAAACTGTGACGTCCGAGGTAGTCCAGAAGCTCGCGATTTATGCACCTCTCCATCACCTTACTTATAACAGAAAGCAGAGCTACAGGCCTGTAGTTGTAAGGGTCGGTCTCAGATCCTTTTTTTTTGGATGAGTTGGACATGAGCAAATTTCCACTTTTCTGGAAAGGTGCAATCTTCACACCTCTTCAGTACAATGGCAGGAATCAAGTCCGGACCAGAAGCTTTGTTAATGTCCAGAGACAAGAGCACTCGTCTTACGGTCTTATGCCTGGATATTACCTCCCGCATAGTGTAAGGAACCCTTTGAATTAACGGAACTTGGGCATTAGGGGGGACGTCCATGGTGGAGTTGGCAGCAAAGATCTTAGCTAGCAGTTATGCCTTGGCCTTTGAGTCGGATACAATCGGTCCATCCTAATACGTAAGTGGTGGGAGGCTACTGTGTGAGAAGTTCTTTTCAATCTGCTTGGCCAGCGCCAGCGTCCAGAAAGACCCAGTGCCATTGCGCTGCGATATTACCCAGTGCCTAACTTTTGTATCGTGCTGGTTTTTAGCATTGCGAACCGCTTCGTTATATTTGTTTCTGGCTGGTCTGTTCTCTACAGCGTGGTTTTGTATGAAGGTTCTGTATTTGCCTTGACCGTCTGCTGGCGAGCAGTGTCACACGATTTGTTAAACCAGCCGTTGGACCCTGGTTTAGGCACTTTGACTGTGGGAGGGATGTATTCCTCCATTTAGACGTGGATAATTTCGGTTATCGAGGAAGACAGACATCTCTCCAAGGAACGATAGAGAAGAAGTCTCTGAGCCACTCCCAGTCGGCATGTCCGTAATGCCAAGTTTTGCGGCCTGTACTAGTTTCTGCTGCCACAGCGGGTTCAGACCTAAACCTAACCTCCACAACACCGTGGTCTGAGTTACCCAGGGGGGACAGGACAGCAGTGCTGTAAGTGACAGGATGCGTGGTCAGAAAGAGATCCAGCAGGTTACTGGCGTGTGACGAGAGGCAGGGAAAAAATTAGGGCTCGTCACCAGCTGGGTCAGCCCTTGAGTAAGAGGAAATTCGTTGTTGAGTCATATTCA